ACCATATTAAATGCATTTTAAGCACAAAATATAGCTCCTCTTGTGATATATTGCGCATGCGCCCAACTAGTAACGTAGCCAGATTATGTACTGAACGTAATTTTATTTTAAGCCGTACTGCACGTCTGAAACGGTGCTCGCGCATGCGCAGTATCTCCTTAGAAAAATAATATTTCGCCAAATTTATAAGTTTAAAATGAAGAGGGGTTATTCCAGCATAGATTTCTATGATAATATTCCATCAGTAGACCTCACTTATAAAATAGTAAGCAGACCTTGCATGTAACGTCTTCGCTGCATATACCAGTGTCTTCCCTGCTACCTTCCCTCAGCCTCCCTCCCCTCTCTGCCGCATCAAGCTATATTACGTACTTTTATTTTAGGCCGTACTGCACGTCTGAAACGGTGCTCGCGCATGCGCAGTATCTCCCGAGAAAAATTATATTTCGCCAAATTTATAAGTTTAAAATAAAGAGGGGTTATTCCAGCATAGATTTCTATAATAATATTCCATCTTAGAACTCACTTATAAAATAGTAAGCAGACCTTGCATGTAACGTCTTCGCTGCATATACCAGTCAGTACATAATCTGGCTACGTTACTCTTTGGGCGCATGCGCAATATATCACCAGAGGAGCTATATTTTGTGCTTAAAATGCATTTAATATGGTCAGAGGGTATCTCATCATAAGTTTCTTAAATGAATTCTTATCAGTAGGCCTGCGTTTATAATTAGAAGAGCGCCCTAGGCAATAGGGTGCAAAACTAACACTTCATCCCCGCCCGCCCTTCCCCTTGTCTCCTCTGGCGCACGCTCAGCCTCCTCCTTCTTCCACCGCACCTCGGCTGTCTTTCCTGCTACCTTCCATCAGCCTCCCTTCCCTCTCTGCCGCATCAAGCTATATTACGTACTTTTATTTTAGGCCGTACTGCACGTGTGAAACGGTGCTCGCGCATGCGCATTATCTCGCGAGAAGAATATTATTTTGCTAAAATTTTGAATGTAAACTGAAGAGGGGCTACCCCAGCATAGATTTCTATGATAATATTCTATCAGTAGACCTCACTTATGTAATAGTAAGCAGACCTTGCATGTAAGGTCTCCGCTGCATATACCGGTCAGTACATAATCTGGCTACGTTACTGTTTGGGCGCATGCGCAATATATCACCAGAGGAGCTATATTTTGTGCTTAAAATGCATTTAATATGGTCAGAGGGTATCTCATCATAAGTTTCTGAAATAAATTCTTATCAGTAGGCCTGCGTTTATAATTAGAAGAGCGCCCTATGCAATAGGGTGCAAAACTAACACTTCATCTTCGCCCGCCCTTCCCCTTGTCTCCCCTGGCGCACGCTCAGCCTCCTCCTTATTCCACCGCCTATCGGCTGTCTTCCCTGCTACCTTCCCTCAGCCTCCCTTCCCTCTCTGCCGCATCAAGCTATATTGCCGATGGGCGGTGGAATAAGGAGGAGGCTGAGCGTGCGACAGGGGAGACAAGGGGAAAGAGCGGGCGGCGAATTTTTTTTCCTACACGTTATATCCATTGGGCTTGATATACGCATCTCAACTTCCGCATCATACTTTCCGTATATCAAGGAAGGATGCAAAAATTCTAACCCTAACCCTAACCCTAATCCTAACCCCAACCCTAACCCTAACCCGAAACCCAACACTAACTATAAAAAAACTAAACTATACTAACAAACTATAAAACAACTATATAACTATATAACTATATAACAAACTCTAACAAACTATACTAACTAAACTATACACAAACTAATCGGTTTATATACTATCTATGGTATCCCACAACACTATCTATGGTGTGGTCAAATCAAAGCAGCCAATCAGAGGAGCCCGATGGATATAACGTGTAGGAAAAAAAATTCGCGGGCGGGCGAGGATGAAGAGTTAGTTTTGCACCCTATTGCCTAGGGCGCTCTTCTAATTATAAACGCAGGCCTACTGATAAGAATTTATTTCAGAAACTTATGATGAGATACCCTCTGACCATATTAAATGCATTTTAAGCACAAAATGTAGCTCCTCTGGTGATATATTGCGCATGCGCCCAACTAGTAACGTAGCCAGATTATGTACTGACTGCTATATGCAGCGAAGACCTTACATGCAAGGTCTGTTTACTATTACATAAGTGAGGTCTATTGATAGAATATTATCATAGAAATCTATGCTGGAATAACCCCTCTTTATTTTAAACTTATAAATTTGGCGAAATATTATTTTTCTCGGGAGATACTGCTCATGCGCGAGCACCGTTTCAGACGTGCAGTACGGCCTAAAATAAAAGTACGTAATATAGCTTGATGCGGCAGAGAGGGAAGGGAGGCTGAGGGAAGGTAGCAGGGAAGACAGCCGAGGTGCGATAGAAGAAGGAGGAGGCTGAGCGTGCGACAGGGGAGACAATGGGAAGGGCGGGCGGGGATGAAGTGTTAGTTTTGCACCCTATTGCTTAGGGCGCTCTTCTAATTATAAACGCAGGCCTACTGATAAGAATTTATTTCAGAAACTTATAATGAGATACCCTCTGACCATATTAAATGCATTTTAAGCACAAAATGTAACTCCTCTGGTGATATATTGCGCATGCGCCCAACTAGTAACATAGCCAGATTATGTACTGACTGGTATATGCAGCGAAGACGTTACATGCATGGTCTGCTTACTATTTTATAAGTGAGGTCTAGTGATAAAATATTATCATAGAAATCTATGCTGGAATAACCCCTCTTCATTTTAAACTTATAAATTTGGCGAAATATTATTTTTCTCTGGAGATACTGCGCATGCGCGAGCACCGTTTCAGACGTGCAGTACGGCCTAAAATAAAAGTACGTAATATAGCTTGATGCGGCAGAGAGGGGAGGGAGGCTGAGGAAAGGTAGCAGGGAAGACAGCCGAGGTGCGGTGGAAGAAGGAGGAGGCTGAGCGTGCGACAGGGGAGACAAGGGGAAGGGCTGGCGGGGATGAAGTATTAGTTTTGCACCCTATTGCCTAGGGCACTCTCCTAATTATAAACGCAGGCCTACTGATAATAATTGATTTCCGAAACTTATGATGAGATACCCTCTGACCATATTAAATGCATTTTCAGCACAAAATATACCTCCTCTGGTGATATATTGCGCATGCGCCCAAACAGTAACGTAACCAGATTATGTACTGACTGGTATATGCAGCCGGGATCTTGCATTCAAGGTCTGCTTACTATTACATAAGTGAGGTCTACTGATGGAATATTATTATAGAAATCTATGCTAGGATAACTCCTCTTTATTTCAAATTCATAATTTTGGCAAAATATTATTTTTCTTGCGAGATATTGCGCATGCGCGAGCACCGTTTCACACGTGCAGTACGGCCTAAAATAAAAGTACGTAATATAGCTTGCTGCGAGAGAGAGGGAAGAGAGACTGAGGGAAGGTAGCAGGGAAGACAGCCGAGGTGCGGTGGAAGAAGGAGGAGGCTGAGCGTGCGACAGGGGAGACAAGGGGATGGGCGGGCGGGGATGAAGTGTTAGTTATGCACCCTATTGCCTAGGGCGCTCTCCTAATTATAAACGCAGGCCTACTGATAAGAATTTATTTCAGAAACTTACGATGAGATACCCTCTGACCATATTAAACGCATTTTTCAGCACAAAATATAGCTCCTCTGGTGATATATTGCGCATGCGCCCAAACAGTAACGTAGCCAGATTATGTACTGACTGGTATATGCAGCCGGGACCTTGCATTCAAGGTCTGCTTACTATTTCATAAGTGAGGTCTACTGATGGAATATTATCATAGAAATCTAGGCTGGGATAACCCCTCTTTATTTTAAATTCATAATTTTGGCAAACTATTATTATTTTCGCGAGATATTGCGCATGCGCGAGCACCGTTTCAGACGTACAGTACGGCCTAAATAAAAGCACGTAATATAGCTTGCTGCGGAAGAGAGGGGTGGGAGACGGAGGGAAGGTTGCAAGAAAGACAGTATAGCTTGCTGCGGAAGAGAGAGGTGGGAGACGGAGGGAAGGTTGCAAGAAAGACAGCCGAGGGGCGGTGAAAGAAGGAGGAGGCTAAGCGTGCGACAAGATAGACAAGGGGAAGAGCGGGCGGGGATGAAGTAGTAGTTTTGCACCCTACTGGCTAGGGCAGGGTAGTAGGGTAGCAGGCCTGTATTCTATGGTAGGGTGTGCATCCACTACTGAAGGCTGCCCAGGGGCGTCCACATCTCTAAATGCGGCCCTGATATGCTTTCTCTTTGGTTAACTGCAAAATGGAAGCTTTTTCTACTGCGATCCGCAGATTTGATCGTTTGTATTTGATCAACTTTGTCCCTCTCCGTCTTCGATATGTGCCTTGGAATTTGAGGACCAACCTTTATGAGATTATTAAGTTATGTCTTATATTTTTGATATGTACCATCTTCAAAGGATCCATGTTAAGCTTCTTCGTTTCTGCCATTCCATATTGGAATTTTCTTCCTTCCTTCCTATTTGGTTAATTGTAGAAGTGATGTTTTTCTACTGTAATTCGCAGTGTTGATCTGCCTATTCGATCAACGTTGTCTCTCTCAGTCTTCGAACGAGAAATAATCCATTGTTGTTATTGAATCAAAATAAGTGCGAATATTACATATACCGCGAATATTACATAATGTAACCTGTGTTTTGCAGGTGTTGCATGCATTAGTCAGCGAGGCTGGGCTGGGGGTTGTTTTGGTGGTGGTCTGTGTAGACGGAGCGTCGCGCATCTTGTGCGGCTGGATTGATGTTATGGGGAGAATGGTAAACGTGTTTTAGGTCGGGCGTTTCTAGGGTCATTGTAAAATGGGGGTAGGACGCGGTCTGGGAGAACGGGTACATGTGCGCGCAAGATGTAGGGGTTTGGGGGTAATATATAAGACACAGATGTAGGAGTCAAGGAGGCTGGTTGTAGAGACGGGATAAAGCGCACGCGCTTACGCGCGTGTGTGCGTTGTTTTGTCCTTGTGTGCAAGGAGATGTGATGTGTGCAAGATATTTAAGTTTATGCAGTTTAAAACACAAGTTTGGATTCTTCTTATTCTTCATTTCTACATCCAACATCAATTCTTCGTTACAACATGTACCAGGGATGTAGCTAACTAAATTTGCCTGGGGCAAATTAATCCATACGCGGTTTGCAGATCACTGTTAGCAATGGCAATAACCTAGTGCGGGAGAAACTGCCCATATCCTAACTACGCACTAATAACTACGACCCTATAGTTACTGTTAGTCATGAAAGAGAGAGGAAAGGGGAAAAAGGGATTGAGAGACGGATGAGTGCAAGCGAGAGAAAAAAAAATATTTTCTATATATATATATATAATACACGCCTGCACGAGAGGGAGAGAGAGACAGAGTGAGACACAGAAAGAGAGAGAGAGAGAGAGAGAGAGAGAGAGAGAGAGAGAGAGAGAGAGAGAGAGAGAGAGAGAGAGAGAGAGAGAGAGACTCAACTGGCTCCGTCGTCATCGCAAGTAGCGATCATCAGATCATTCACGGCAGACCGCTGAAGTAAGTGTTTATTCAATATTACTCTTATTTAATAACTACATCCGGCAGTGCACGAAGATTTCATATAGTCGTGGTTCAGATAGTATATAAATAAGTAATATAACTAATATATATATATATTATATTAATAATTATCCAAACATATACGCGCACACACATGCGCGCATACAGCCCATGGTGTTTGTCGGTACGCGCGCACGGTTTGCCACACACGCACTGGCCACGCACCCACGGCACTCTGCACGCGTTTTCACGCACCACGCACGCACAGCAACCAATCGACGCACGCACGCACAAGCAGTGTGTTGTGTGCTGTTGTGTATGAAGAGAGAGAACGTTGCTGGCTGAGAAGAGAGAGAGAGAAGAAAGAATGAGTGAGTTGTGTGTGTGGTGGTGGTAATGTTTGTGTGTTGTGTGTGTGTGGGTGTGAGGCCGTGCGGGTGGCATGTGGGTGTGAGCGTAGCGGCGTCGGTGTGCGTGCTGCCGCGCGCCGCGCAGGTGTGTGTGTGTGTGTGTTGTGTGGTTGGTTGTAGGTGTATGTGTGCGTGCGTGGCGTGAGTGTGCGGTCGTGGCGCGCGCGCATAGCGCGGCGCGCGTGGTGTGGTGGTGTTGTGTGGTGTGTGCGCGCACGGCGCGCGCCGCGGTGTGGTGGTGTGTGTGTGTTGAGTGTGTGTGGTGTGTTGTGTGTCTGTCCGCGCACCGCCTGAGCGCGCGCCGCGCGTGTGGTGAGTGTTGTGTGTTGTGTGTGTGTGTGTGTGTGTGTGTTGGTACTTCCGCGCACGCACCTCGTGGTGAGTTGTGTGTGTGTGGTCTGCGCGCACAGCGCGCGCGTGTTGTGCGTGTGTGTGGTGTGATGGTTGTTCTGGTTTTCCCCGCCCGCGCACGAGCGCAGCGCGCAGCGCGTGGCGTGTGCTGATGTGTGTGGGTGTCGTTTGTGTTGTGGGGTGGGTGTGTGTTGTGTGTCTGTCCGCGCACGGACGCGTGTGTTTGTCGTGGTGGTGTGTGTGTGTTGTGTGTGTCTGTCCGCCACGCGGGCTGCACGTGTGTGTGTTGTGTGGGGGTGTGTGTAGTGTGTCTGTCTGTCCGCGCACGCGCGCGCGGCAGGCGTGTGGTGGATGTGTTGTCTGAGGTTGTGTCTGTCCGCGGCAAAGCGCCCGGGCCGCAGCGACGCGCGTCGCGTGTGTGGGTGTGTGTGTGTTGGTGTGTGTGTGGTGTGTGTGTGTGTCTCATGATCCGCGCGCATCGGCGCCAGCGTGTGTGTTTGAGAGAGAAAGTATTGAGAATTCGTAAGTAAAGCGTAAAGTAAAAGCGACGCGCGATATACTATATAACTACCATATAAATTTTAATATACTATTAACTACAATATAAGACAACAAATTTTGTAAAAAGTAATTTAACTCAAAGTAACTCAACCGATTGCTCGCATTATTGTTCCGACGAACAATGTCAGCGTATATAGTTGAATTCGTAAAATGATGCATCTGCATGTCGTAAAATATGATAGGGATCACTTTGCTGCTGACCAGCGGGATGGCTCAAGTTGTCGTAAATTAACGAAAAAAAAAAAACCCGGCCCTTTATACTAGTACAACCAATCTAGCCGCTTAATCATTGCGTTGGCGAATAATATATCGATGTGATCCCTGGCAAGACACAAATAAGTGCGAAACCGACGTTAATCGGTCATATAGGCACTTCTACCTCTGCAGCAATATTCGATTTCGCTCGCGCAGATTCGCAGCCACACCACCACGGGCCTCCACGTTACACATCGCGCGTGCACACGCTAAGAGGCAACGACGATGCTGCGCGCTCGGCAACCGCCTTTAAGGCGAGTACGGAAAAGATTGACTTCGCGCATTATGGCGTCCTTGAGGAGCTCACGGTAAATATTCCTGATAAAAACTGACACTGTAACGATAGCTGGTTCTGTGACGCTGGAAACGTAAGAAATAGCTGCACTCCCACTTAGAATTGAAGCCAAGAAAGAAACACATGGACAAAATCACGGCTATGATTCATGTCGAATCTATATCTTATTCTACGAGGACACACATTGCTCAATCACGATGCGTATTATCTAAGTATTATACACTTTGATATACTTAACTGAAATATGGTTACACGCCGTTGATACGCATAATTAAGATGCTACGATCTTTAATACACATTACACTTCATTTTGATCACCGCGTTGTAACAGTGCTCGCGATCGATTCTAGAGTGTGCTACTTATTCCATCAGCGTGTCTCGTGTCTGCATTGCATTTTGATTATATATAGCTATAAGAATCTATATACAATATATATATATATGAATATATTATGTTATTCGCTATTCATAATAAATAATCTTTATTCAAAGATTAAAAGACCAAGACATTGACCATTGACAATGTTCAGAATAGCAGAAAGGCGTCACTCGGAAGGCTACATCTCTCTTGTAAATGCATCAGAGATTCTTATCAAATGCCAACCAACGTTAAAATAACCAAAAAGATAATGTTAGCATCGGTTCGCTATCAGCAATCACTACAAGCTCAATTAACAGGCGTGAATAATTAAGCTAGATCGTAATGCACACATGGCGCTTCTGAATCTCACGCTGAGTCGTAAAAATGCCTGGCTCACTCTTTCCGCGGCGGGAGTCAATGAACCCACAGTACTATGTATGAAGGCGGTCTGGATTGCCGTCCTCCTGCCCCGCTACATAGTACATCATAGAAACTGCACGCATCCGATCACCCGTAAGCGACTCCCTAGATCCGGAGCGATGTGTCAAGGCGAAACCATATATTACAGCGATCGGGGTAACTGGAATCCGATATTGAAAGCGCTCGTTTCTTAGTTTAAATAGTGGCGATATAGAATTATTGGGAGCAAGTGGCAGAGACGGCATAGAGAGGGGAAAAAGAGAGAGGGGAAGAAGGTCGAGAGAGGGGAGCACTTGCGAGAGAGGAAGAGAGAGATATATATAGGCAAAGAGAGAGAGAGAGATACGTTGAGAGAGCTAGAAGAGAGTCGAGAGAGAAAGAAGATGAGAGATAGCGAGAGAGAACAAGAAATGAGTGAGTGAGCACGGAGAGCGAGAGAGAAGAGAGAGACAGAAGAGAGAGGAAAGAAAGAGAAAGAGAAAACGAAAAAGAGAGAATAGAAGAGAAGAGAGAGAGCGAGAGAAAAGATAGAGAAAGAGAGAGAGAGAGAGAGGAGAGAGAGGAGAAGAGAGAGAGAAAGAGAGAGCGCGAGAGAGAGAGAGAGCGAAGAGAGAGGAGAAGAGAGAGAGAAAGAGCGCCGCGAGAGAGAAGAAGCGAGAGAGAGAGAGAAAAGAAGAGAGAAGCGCGAGCGCGAGAGAGAGAGTAGAGAGAGAGAGAGAAGAGAGAGCGAGAGAGAGAGAAAAAGAGAGAGACGACGAGAGCTAGAGATCGAGAGAAGAGAAGAGAGAAGAAGAGAGAAGAGAGAGACGCGAGGCCTATAACTATTACAATCAGCTCTATATAATTATTGCTACGAAACGTTAGCTTACATGCCATCGTTCTCTCAGAGCAGCAGTAAACTAAACCTGCGCCAGCAACCGCGTACATAATAATACATACATGCCCACCGGGACAGGTAAGTACATCACACGCTGCTATAGCATTTCCGCACGGGAGCAGAAATGGGCCGAGCGCTCCTACTGTAGCCTGTCTTTGTAGTTCGATCATTGCTGCATCGGCAAGCGAGAAGAGGTCCGATTCACTCGTCTATGCGTGCGCTTTGCTAGAAGACGCGAATGGGCTCTTCTTCTCTTATGCTCTTCTGCCCCCTTCTCTCTTCTCTGTCTTCTTATCTTCTTCTTCTTAGTTTCATCTCTTCTTCTACTTCTTCTCTTCTTCCCCTTCCTTTTCTCTTACTTTTTCTCTCTCTCCTATCTCCTTCTTCTCTCTTCTTCTTCTTCTCTTTCCTTCTTCTCTTTCCTACTCTTCTTCTTCTTCGCTTCTCTATTCCATCCTCTCTCATTCTTCTCTTCTTCTCCTCAACGTAGGCCGTTCACAGCGCTGCGAATGACTCCGAGTCCTGTGCCTAATCCGGCAGTGGGGGGTGGCTTCAAAGTTGCACACAAAGAGCACAACTTGGATGATCACGTAATTCTATGCATAACCTACGCTTATATATAAATCAAGCTTGAATGGATAAAATGACCCAGTAGGTCCTGATCAGATTTACCTATCGCCTGAGCATTTCTCAGTCTCTTCCTCTTTACATTTCGTTTAACAACAATAACTTGCACCCAACCAACAACAACAGCACCAACGATAACGACGACAAAACAAGGACGGACGACGACGATGACAACAACCAAAAACAATAACAACATCAAGAATAACAAGCAACAACAACAGTAATTAAAGTAATAAAAAGAAGAAGAAGAGAAATAGAATAATTGTAAAATGTGATTGCTGTCTAATAACAGCGCACACCTATATCTGCACGAAAAACGCGATAATAGCTATGAATCAGTTACTACCGCGTTACGGCGGTAATTACTCAACACTGTTATAAACCAACAACGAGTATTGGATAAGCGCTAGTGTCAACACGTATGTAATTCGAAGAAAACGCATACAGCCGCCGATTACCGTTATTTGATCAGTGATCGTACCACCGTGCGCCGTCACGTCCAGGACATGTGCGCAAGCCTACAAATCTAAAGGCGAAGTATGGCTTGGCCATCTCCAGTTTGCAATTGCATATGTAATATAAATATTAAATATACACTATAATATAATATATAATTACAATCACACTATATATCGCCAATACCTATGTATGTATGTGTTGTATGTGTTGTGTGTTGTGTGTGTGGTCTGATGTTGGTGTGTGTGGGGTATGTGTCGTATTTGGTGTTGGCGTGCTGTAATACGCAATGCTATTTTCAGTAATTTCTCCACTGTCACTGTAGGTAAATCGGAAACTAGTACAGATGTTGGTACGGTGTAAGAGATGTAAGACAAGCAGAGAAGAGAGCGAAGAGATAGAGAGAGAGGGAGAAGCTCTTCTCCACTTCATCCGCACGTAATCGAAATTAACGTATGATAATATTGGTTCAAGTAACGCGCGGCACGCGGAAGCTCTATAGATCGCAAATGTCCTCTCTCATGGCGCCGAAAGTATATAATCACTCCTAATCGCAATACGGTATATTAATTCTGCAAAAACCAGCCGTTTTATTGAACAACGCGTATTTAAGTCGCGACAGTGTATATAACTGTTCACCAAAGATGGAAACATGACAGCTACACAGCGACAGCTCACACACATTCGTTGCTCTACAGGCAATTTTCTGTGCGAATTTTTAGTGGCAGTTGCCCGTCACAGCACACCTTGCAAACTCACGCACAATGCCCCGACGAGCAATTCGTGTGAGAATCAAAAACCGGTGATCTCTCGCCAAACTTCGTGGTCAGCACTAAAAATTTCCGTGTGAGTGGTCACGTTACCTGGCCCCCGCAACTTGCCCATTTTTTCGGACCACAAAAAATTCCTACGAGCAAGAAAGCGGAAGTGCTGCCTCGCTTACGTAGAAACGCTTTAACAGTGTAAGGATCGGCGTACGTACGTGATAAGAGAAAGACTAACGTACGACTCGCGCCTACTTGCTGCGCTCTGGTAACGCCTGATCTTTCATCCATGTCACACTATAGTACCGAATACAACATGGGAACACAAATAATGACATTAAGACGCATAGCTATAGTGTTGTTAGAGTGAATATACAGGAACAACAACACAAACGAAAGTAATATCATAAATAAAGATCATTCATTCAATATTCAACAATCAAATTCAATTACATCCATAATTCAATCAAATTCAATTCATATTTAATTCATATTAGAACATAGGGTGTTCAAACTCGCCGATTATAACGATGACGAAATATTTACACATTGCAGAGAAACAAGAATGCGCCGAGCTACGAGAATATACGAGAGGTCGACTGGGAGCTAGAGTTCTCTCAGTCCGAAATGCGGAGAAAGCACGAAGCATCGCCATGTTCGGGGCAGCCTATCATTGAGATGGGCGCCGCCTCCGTGAAGGGCCTCCTGTAAGCGCGTATCGCAGACCCGCTAAAATGGAGAAGCGGCGCTACATTCGGGACGTGACCGCGCATTGACGTCATCAGATGAGCTCGCTGCGAAGCGCCGTGCAAGACATTCGCGGCGTCCGTGTCCTTTTGTCCTTGCAAGGTCGCCAGATGAGGTTGCGGCATGCAGTAACGAGTCAGGAAAAATCTACTAGTGCGGCTGTCGTGAATTAATGTAAGTGAATAGAGTAAATCCTATAGATTCTTCACACACAAGACACACACAACACACACACACAT